CAGAGCAAACCCTGTTCTTCAACCCCCCCACCCCCACCGGAGCCCTAAGGGCTACCTGAGACTTCTTTTGTCTCCTCCTTCGATTCTTTTCTTTCTGGATTTATCAGAGACATCCACTCTCAAGGCTGCTAAGAGGTAGTTTAGTAATTTTTTTTTTTTTCATTCTCTTCTTGAACCACCTGACATTGCAGGAACAGTGAAAGTCATTAACACTCAATTTTATTTTGCAGGAAAAAGAACTCACATTTTTTTAGCAGAATATCAAATCAGAATGATCCAGAAAGACAGTTAAGTTTTATTATTCTCAGTATCACTGCACAGGCAGTGAATCAGTTTATTACAGTGCGCACTATGAAATGTGACAAAGTGCTATATTACTGTTAGATAACCTTTGAGCTGCTTATCATGTCTACCAGCTAGCAAGTTACTGACATTGCAGTTTGTGAAGCCCTGCAATGCCAAGACTCTGAACAACTGGATCTAAGGTCGCAAAAACCAATAAGTACCTAATTTGCCACTGGCACAGCTCAATTGGACAAATTTCCTCAGCAATTTCTCTCAGAAGCTTTTTGTTGGGAAATTATCCTTTTTCTAAGAAAAAAGAAATGTCTCTTCATCTCTTTGCTTCTTCCTTTTCTTTCTTTCCTATTCACTGTGATGCCTGATGGATTATTTTTCCTTCCTGGCTGAGGAGGAGGAGGCAATATTCCTTACTTTGACCTGCACATGTTCAGCTCTCTGCCATTTGTCTTATAATTCTATAAAAACATCTTTTATTTTTAAAATTGGCAAATAGACACTGGCCGTTCATTATTTCTAAGACTACCATTGCATTGCCACTTACTTCAGAATGCTACATCCACTAAGATTTTTGTAATACAGATTTCAGAACAGAAAATTCAGGATAAAATTTGACGATTTAAAATCCATTGTTATAGAAAATTATCATTCACTCCAACCGCAATGAGGAGAGATTTGGAGACACTTTCTGTGAACTAGGCATTTTTCATTACAATTTATGAATGTACATTTCTTACTAGTATTTAATTTCTCTAAAATCACTCTCCTCTTTTATAAAGCATTAAAAATGAGGAGAAGGAGGATGAGTGAATTTGAAGTCTTTTTTCTTTCATCAGGTTCTTTCCTTTAGGAGACTTGTGTCTCATCCACAGGTAGGCGTTCAAAACATAGTTAAGCAATGTTGGATACTATAAATGGAAGTGATGTGACTGATGACTATAGAATGTCAATTGCTTTCACTTTCTGGGGGATCTGGAAAGGGCTAATACTCCTGTCCACAGGAAGAGGGGCTAAATGTTCTAGTTTTTCAGTGAGTGATTTAACTTGGCTGCAGGACCCTCTCATCATACTGAAATCTAGTGTACCCTAACCTGTGGTGATCATCGATTGCTAGTGTTTAGAATGGCTAGTGAAGTATCTTCATCTGGAATATGGGAAAACACAGCAGCCTATTTATTCCTAGGTTTCTGGGACTGCAACTTCATCTCCTTTTTTTTTTATTTGTCTATTTTCTTTTTTTTATTATTTCTTTTTTTTATTGGTTGTTCAAAACATTACAAAGCTCTTGACATATCATATTTCATACATTATATTCAAGTTGGTTATGAACTCCCAATTTTACCCCAAATACAGATTGCAGAATCACATCGGTTACACATCCACATTTTTACATAATGCCCTATTGGTAACTGTTGTATTCTGCTACCTTTCCTATCAACCTCTTCTTCTAACCAGCATTGACCCAAAGGTTTTACAAATTAATGTTTAATATCCAATGATTCCAATTTAGTGATTGTCTATAGTGTCACTTGTAGCATTTGATGGTGGAATACATAATGGCTAAATACTTTCAAATGATGACATTGGAATGCTACTTTCCTTTATGAACTTCAACTATTTGAAATAATTTAGCAAATCATCAGTGAATTCTGGTAAAACCCACTCTAATTCCTAATCTAATGTAGGAAAATGCATATTTTCTGCCACCCATTAAAAATATGAGACAAAAAATTTCATATGCTCTTCCTTCCTCTGTTTTTTTTCCCTTCCCTTCCTCTCTCCCTTCCTCCCCTTTTTACTTATTTGTCTATGTGTGTATGTGTGTGTGGTGGATCCCATTCAAAATCTACGTTGGACTAATGTTTGAGTAACTTTGCCTGAAGCGTTAGTCCATGCAAAATCCATCCATTCATTTGTCTGACCACCCATCTATCATCTATCCATCCATCCACTAATTTGTTATAGCCAACCAGCTATTGATCTACATCCATTGATCCATTATTCACTGAGTTGAGTTCCTATGCTGGGTTGAGTCCAGGTCAATTGTTTTAAATTTGGATTTTTTTGAGTTCCTTATTATGAAATTCAGGTCAAAAATTGAGAACGGAGTTGGGTATGGTGGTGCATGCTTCTAATGATACTAGTGACTTGGGAGACTCAGGCAGGTGGATCACAAGTTTGAGATCATATTCACCAATTTAGTGAGGCACTAAGCAATATAGTGAGACCATGTCTCAAAACAACAACAAAAATAAAATAAACAAAAATTTGAAAACAAAAAGGACTGAGGATGTAGCTCAGTGGTAAAGTGCCCCTGGTTTCAAGTCCCAGGACCAAAAAAAGAAAAAATCGAGAATGGGTGGTGCATGAATACAAAAAAAAAAAAAAAAAAAAAACAACATGTATCTGGAATCATCTTTATCATATCTGAAGGCACTTGTCAGTTTGTCTAATTGTTGGTGGAGTTCATCAGATTTCCTCTTTGGAAAAATAGAAGTGTCTTTTTTGTAATTAATACATTATTTGTGGAGCTGATATTTTGAGACCATGTGAATATCCTGTTCCCCAATAATCTCTTACTAGTATCTATTGATGAGCTCCATTGGAATCAATTATTACTGCAGTTGTGGTTTTCTATTCCTATTACCCTTTCTATATTATTTGGCATTCTTCTGTAAAGAAGAGCTTTCTCAGCACTTTAATGATTCCCCCAAGCCCCAGGGAATGGAGTGGGGACCCTGCCAGCCAAAACATTCCCCCCTTCCTAGCCCCCATCTCTTCTAGCCTCTCCCCTTCCCTGGTGGAGGGAGGGAGCATGAAGCTCTCACCCTTCGTGCCCCCTTGCTTGCATCTGTATATAGTGTGAGCCGCAAGTAGCCCTTCTCCTTCCCTTGCCCTTCCTCAATGTAGTGGCCTTAGATATCCCGTTTGTTAATAAAGACAAATTCAACCAGCTCCCACCAAAGAGAGAGAGAGAGAGAGAGAGAAACTTTCTCTTTTCTCTACTATTTTCTTTTTGGTGGTAATTAAACCAGGGCCTAGCACATGCTAGGCAAGTACTCTACCACTGAGCTATACTCGCAGCCCTGCTTTTAAATTTTATTTCGAGACAGGGTCTCACTAAATTGCCCAAGTTGGCATTGCACTTGGGATCCTCCTGCTTCAGCCTCCTGAGTTGCTGGGATTACAGGCTTAAACTCCTCCACTGTATTCTTTAAAGCAAATAAGAGCCAGGTGCAGTGGTGCATGCCTTTAATCCCAGCGACTCGGGAGGGTGAGGCAGGAGAATCACAAGTTCAAAGGCAGCCTCAGCAACTTAGCGAGGCCCTGAGCAACTCAGTGAGATCTTGTCTCTAATAAAATACAAAAAATGGGGCTGGGAATGTGGCTCAGTGGCTAAGTGCCCCTGGGTTCAATTCCTAGTACAAAAAAAAAAAAAAAAAAGCAAATTAAAATGCTTTCTCAAGTATGACTAACAGGAACTTCCATCTGAGTCATCATCAGTTCATCTTCACTACCTCTTCACCTGTCAGAGACTCATCAAGGTCCCACAGTAGTGGGAGTCCACTCTGATCACCACAGGAATGTACAACATTCTAGATGAAGGATCATTTCAGATCTGCCTCTTTGGAGGTCCATAGATTCTTGGTACAAGAGAACCTTTGGCAAGTCTGAGAATCTCATGCCTAACATCATGCCTCCAGGATTCCACCACAGAGTAGTGTCCCAAAATCCAACCTGTGATGAGCCCTCAGGGAAACCCCTCTCCCTCTGGTTGCCTATAGGCACCAACCTCTCATCTTTCCCTTGCCCCATAATATCAAACATAATTGGCTCAGTTTGTTAGTCTTTCATAAGAGACAGGAAAAACTTTTGAATTTGAGGCCATAGCTTTCCATACTCCAAGGAAACATGAAGGATCTGGTTACCACTTAGGTTGGGGTAGCAGGGTCTACAAAGACTCAGAGTATGAGAAACTAAAAAGTTTATCCTGTCATGTAGAAGTTTTTGGAATGATTTGGACTTTCAGCTGTGAGTTATAATGTAATTAGGAGAATGTTCTGGGTCCAAAAATCCTGACTTACAAATTAAGACAGCTACTTTGTGATTAGTAGAGACAACCAATGATATCTGCAATTTACAACAATTACTTTCTACAAAATAATGTGAACCTTATTTCCAATATGGTATTTCAATTTGATTTTCCGTCAACATTTGCAAACCATTAATTTGTCAAATCCTATAAGAACAATTTATTGATTTTTTAAATTCATTTTTTACGAAGTTCTCATAGAGGTCAATTTTTCGACTTGCCAATGTACCATACATTTTCCTCACATTTCTTCATGCAGTTTTTGTGAATATACATGTATATATGTATATGCATGCACTATATTTATTCATATATATATATATTCATTTATATAGGTATTTGTATACATTTATTTTAGTTTTCTAAATAAGACTACTTCTTCCTATAAATATGTATATATTATCCATACAAAGTCTTATCTACATAGTGTCTTTTCACCTCACCAGCTCTTTATGGTCTTCAAAATTATTTGAAAATATATAATATTGATCATTTCATATTTTAAAGGCTCCTGTGCCCCATTCTCTCCTCCATATTTGTACCAAAGACCATACTCAGCCATATTTTCTCCTTCTAGATTCCACTGATTCTTTTTATATGCTTTTAGGAAGAACAAAGGACCATCTGAAGTGGATGATGCAGAAGAGAAATGTGAAAACACCATCACAATTGAAAATGGCATCCCCTGCAATCCCCTGGACTTGAAGGGAGGGCACATTAATGATGTTTTTGTGACAGAGGATGAACGGCTCACCCCTCTCTGAAGGGTTGCTGTTTTGCTTCCTCAAGAAACTTAACACTTGTTTCTTTGTGACTGCTAAGCATCTTAAAATATCAAGGGCAGATTATATATTTTTATTTTGCCATTCTTCTTTTGTAAGAAATTTTGAATGTATTTGAAAGTGAAAGGTAATCAATTTTACCCATGAAGACTACTGAAATCATAGGTGGCAACTACTCAAAATATTTTTCTGACAATACAGTGTGTAGGTGTAGTCATTTGGTATTGTAGTTATTGATTTAAGAATTTCTAGAAGTAAAGTCAGAAATACATATATGTATATGTGTATATATATATATATATATATGTATGTGTGTGTGTATATATATATATATATATATATATATATATATATTTCACACTTCAAAAACCTGAGGAAAATTAATTTTACAGTGGATAATACCTGTAACATGGTATATCAATCACTGAAAACGGATCCTTTTTTAATATTGTTTATAACACTCTGTATATGACTAAGCAAAAGTAAAAAGCAATTATTATAAACAGAATGGATAAAAATGGGAATATTGATTCACAGGATAGAAATTTTCCTGTTATACCAACAGGATATATTGCTTATCTAGTTTCTGAGTATCAGTCTCTAATAGAAGAGTTTTATTTGTTGACTATTTCTACAATATGTAAAAATTCAGTCTATGCTAATTTAATAAAGCACTAATCACCTCTTTATGATTGTGTGACTGTGGTCTGTGATTTATTTTCACCCTGTGGATTACAGTCTTAATTTTTATGAGTTCTGTTTAATGTGATCTTCAACCTTAGAAATGATTTATTTTTGTTCTCTGTGTCCTTGTTTGAGGACACCTTTAGCTTTAAAACTTTATTTTGATTTAAATTTACCTTTTAATTGATACATAAAGACATAAAATTGTACATATTTATGTGGTACCATGTAATGTTTCAATATATGTATATATTGCATAATGTTTAAGTCAGGCCAAAATAGCTATCTTCTCAAACACTTATCATTCTTTATGGTGAAAACATTGAAAGTCTTTTATCTTAGCTTTTTGAAAAATACATTATAATTATCTGTAGTCACTTTAATGTGCAATAACAGCACACCAGAACTTCTTACTCCTATCCAACTATAACTTAGTGTACCCCTTGACCAACCTCTCCTCATCCTTCCTTTCCCATACTCAGCCTCTGGTAATCATCATTCTATGCTCAGCTTCCTGGAGATTGGCTTTTTAAAAAAAAATTTTTAGATGTTGATGGGACTTTATTTTTTTAATATTTATTTTTCAGTTTTCGGTGGACACACAACATCTTTATTTTATTTTTTATATGTGGTGCTGAGGATCGAACCCAGTGCCCTGCGCATGCCAGGCGAGCGCGTTACCACTTGAGCCACATCCCCAGCCCGATGGGCCTTTATTTTATTCATTTATTTTTATGTGGTGCTGAGAATCAAGCCCACTGCCTCACACATGCTAAGCAAGCGTTCTACCACTGAGCCACAACCGCAGCCCTGGAAATTAGCTTTTTAGATTCTACATATGAGTGAGATCATGTGGAACTTATCTTTCTGTACCTGGCTTATTTCACTTCATAGATGATCTCCAGTTTCATTCATGATGTCACAAATGACAGGAATCCATTCTTTTTATGGCTGAGTAGTATTCTATTGTATACATATATATTGATTTCTTTCTGTTCGTCAGTTGATGGACACTTAGGTTGTTTCCATTTCTTGGCTATTGTGAATAGTGCTGCAATGAACATGGGAGTGCAAATGTGTCTTCAAAATACTGATTTCATTTCCTTGGAATATAGACTTGATTCTGCTTCTGGATAGGCCCAAAAATCATTCTAAATTCTAATAATGATTATGGAAATAAAATTTGCTATGTATTCTGCCACTGTCACCCATAGTCAAGGCTATAGCAAGTCCCTCTATCTCACCTCTCTGCCTACATCTTCAAGTCCAGTAGGTATGGATTTGAAGATGAGTAGGTTTATTGGGGAGTTCTCTCAGGAGATACATCTGTAGGAAGTGAGGAAGACATCTCTGGTGTTCACACCTTCATGTAATCCCCTCCCCCGAGTGCATATCAGACCTATGACTTGCTTCTAATGAATGGAATATAGCAAAAGTGATGAGATGTTACACTTGTATTTGTTGCCCTCTGAAAGGTCACAGTAAATAAACAGAAAAACAATATATCTAAGGTATTAAAATTTCATAGGAGAGTTATTAGGAAAAAGATCTAAATATGTCTCAATTATGAAAAGGCTTGAGGAAAACTGATTCCAGGTATGTTTCTTGTTTTGAAGGCTTGGGATGAATCCATTTTAATCATTAGATCATTTCTTCACTGTTTATTCTGGTGGAGAGGGGATTTTTTTTTCTACTGGGAAATGTCTGCTTTACTAAACATCCTTGTTGGGGAGGATTTTTATGCTAGTAGAGATGTGCTATAACCTCTATAATCAATAAACAGCAAAGTAGAGCTTATGTCTCCTGCCTACTGCCTTTAACAAACACTCTGAGTAATTAGAGAGTAGTCAATCATCAACCACACTTCTCATTTTTAATTTAATGATCATGTAATGGGCCGTGATGGAACACATTATGAGGTAATATGTACTGTTGTAAAGCAAGTGGAAATACAGCTGTCATTTCACTCTCCAAATCCATAGCAAAATCTGTTTGATGAAAGTAGAAAGACAGAACATCTGAAAACCAAGTCAGTATAGAATGAGTTAGCTGAGATTGTGATACCTGGACTTGTTTCATAGAAGAAATGTAAATGGCATATAACTTGTTTTTCTTTCTGTATAGTTTCATCATCCATGTTTTCCACAAGAACTAACCAATACAAGACACCATAACATTAAAGAAAGTAGTGGGCTTGTGAAGTATCTCAGTGGTAGAGTGCTTGCCTAGCATGTGTGAGGCCCTAGGTTCCATTTCCAACAATACAAAACTGATCAGAATTCAGATGTGAATATCGTCATGTGAAATGTGCACATTTATCATCATTCCTGGATAAGGAACAAGAAATAGGAGAAAATACAGGCTAAAAATAAAAAAGAAACTCAAAGTTTCAAAAATTCCCAGATTTTGTTTCAAATTTATGAGGCCCCTTAAATATAATATTTTCTCATTTTACATTTCATAAATTCACATATATCATTACTTCATTCACACAAGCAAACACATAATAGTCTTTTTTCCTTCTTTCTTAGTTTCCTTCCCTTTCTCTTCCTTTTTCCCTTCCTTAAGAATTTATTGAATTCCCAACACTCATACTAAAGATATCATACTAAAGATATCATACTAAATTCAGGAAATATAAGCAGGTAAAGGTCTGAAAACTGTTAAAGGATATTGACTCTGGTTAATTAAAAATAAGTCTATTTAGGTCTTTAGGGAATAGACCGAGAAGGGGAATAGCTGGGTCAAATGGTGGCTCCATTCCCAGCTTTCCAAGAAATCTCCATACTGCTTTCCAAATTGGCTGCACCAATCTGCAGTCCCACCAGCAATGTACAAGTGTACCCTTTTCCCCACATCCTCGCCAGCACTTGTTGTTGTTTGACTTCATAATGGCTGCCAATCTTACTGGAGTGAGATGATATCTTAGGGTGGTTTTGATTTGCATTTCTCTGACAGCTAGAGATGGTGAGCATTTTTTCATGTACTTGTTGATTGACTGTATGTCCTCCTCTGAGAAGTGTCTGTTCAGGTCCTTGGCCCATTTGTTGATTGGGTTGTTTGTTCTCTTATTGTCTAATTTTTTGAGTTCTTTGTATACTCTGGATATTAGGGCTCTATCTGAAGTGTGAGGAGTAAAGATTTGTTCCCAGGGTGTAGGCTCCCTATTTACCTCTCTTATTGTTTCTTTTGCTGAGAAAAAACTTTTTAGTTTGAGTAAGTCCCATTTGTTGATTCTAGTTATTAACTTTTGTGCTATGGGTGTCCTATTGAGGAATTTGGAGCCCGACCCCACCGACTGTAGATCGTAGCCAACTTTTTCTTCTATCAGACGGCGCGTCTCTGATTTGATATCAAGCTCCTTGATCCATTTTGAATTCACTTTTGTGCATGGCGAGAGAAAGGGATTCAGTTTCATTTTGTTGCATATGGATTTCCAGTTTTCCCAGCACCATTTGTTGAAGATGCTATCCTTCCTCCATTGCATGCTTCCTCCATTGCATGCTACAGGGACACTGCTACATCGATGTTCATAGCAGCACAATTCACAATAGCTAGACTGTGGAACCAACCTAGATGCCCTTCAATGGATGAATGGATAAAAAAAATGTGGCATTTATACACAATGGAGTATTACTCTGCATTAAAAAATGACAAAATCATAGAATTTACAGGGAAATGGATGGCATTAGAGCAGATTATGCTAAGTGAAGCTAGCCAATCCCTAAAAAACAAATGCCAAATGTCTTCTTTGATATAAGGAGAGTAACTAAGAACAGAGTAGGGTCGAAGAGCATGAGAAGAAGATTAACATTAAACAGGGATGAGAGGTGGGAGGGAAAGGGAGAGAGAAGGGAAAATGCATGGAAATGGAAGGAGACCCTCAGAGTTATACAAAAGTACATACAAGAGGAAGTGAGGGGAAGGGGAAAAATAATACAAGGGGGACAAATGAATGACAGTAGAGGGGGTAGAGAGAGAAGAGGGGAGGGGAGGGGAGGGGAGGGGAGGGGGGATAGTAGAGGATAGGAAAGGCAGCAGAATACAACAGACACTAGTATGGCAATATGTAAATCAATGGATGTGTAACTGATGTGATTCTGCAATCTGTATATGGGGTAAAAATGGGAGCTCATAACCCACTTGAATCAAATTGTGAAATATGATATATCAAGAACTATGTAATGTTTTGAACAGCCAACAATAAAAAATTTAAAAAAAAAAAATAAGTCTAAAGCCACACACCTATAGTCCCAGCTACTTGGGAGGTTGAGGCAGGAGGATAACTTGAGCCCATGGATTTGAGACCAACCTGGACAACATAGACCCTATTTACAAAAAAAAGAAAAAAAGAAAGAAAGAGAAAGGTCTGTATTTGATTTCACTACCATCAACTTGCTGCTCAACTCTTTACACTCTGACTTCCATTCCACACTGTGAGGAAACTTCTCCCTCAAAGGTCATTGTGAATTGTGATTATCAAGGTCACAGCTTTTTGGTCCTCATCCTCCTAAATGTCTTTGAAGCATTTTACAGTGTAGGGAACTTGTCATCCTCTTGACACATTCTCCTTTCTTGGATTCTTTAATATGGCATTATCCTTTTCCTCCTTCACCTTTTTATGACCATTCTGAAAGAAGTCAGAGAACAAGTTGAAAGAAAGAAACAGGTGAAAATTATTTGAGTGACATTGTGTAAAGTGTAGTTGAGTTCTTAGTAGTGAAAGAAAAAAGAAAATTGCATCTTGTGCACAACGAAAGCAATAGAAAGAATACTTAAAGTTAATGTTCTCTCTGTTGGCCACAAATAGCTTGTTTGCTATCCAGAGAAGCTTTGCAGTAAGAGAGAAAAAGTGTGCAAGTAATCATTGCATATTAAAGGATGGTTGGTTCACATAGTGGTGGATAGTACCAGTGCCAGAGGAACATAATCACAGTCCTTTATCTGCAACTCCCAAATCCAAAAACCCCTTAAAACTATTTGGCTGCAACACCTGACCTGAATA